TGCTCAGGACTATTCTTAGAGCCGTCACCTATGGGCTCTGAAAAAATGCTGGTACTTCCCCATGTCAGGATTGCCTAATGCCCTTCCCCCCGGTTATTATTGAAATACTGTGATACTTAGTTAATGTGGTGTAAAGGTGTTGCTCTACTTGCTGGGTAGGTAAATGTCTTGTCATCTACCAAGCACCTATTTAAGTCTGTGTCAAAGAAGCCAGCACCCTCTTTTGCATTGAAAAATACCTCAAGTGGTGACTAGTAATAATGTCACTGTCAGATTTGAAACTTAGGCAGAATAGAAGCAAAAATGGGGGGGAGAGAAGGGGATACATGAGTGCCCATTGTCAGCAAGATGAGATCACAGGGAGGAACTGACAAATGCCCCCAGTTCCTCCTCCACTTAAAATCTCATAGTTAGAGACAACAGAATCCACCTCTTACTATCTTAAAGAAAGGACTTCATTAGAAGGGACTCACAGCCCTGAAGGAAGGCTGGTGGACCAGACTTGGATAACAGTGGAAACCAAGGAACCAGGGCAATCAGGAAAGCCAAAAAGCCAAGGGATGACAACTATCTTTTCAGCAGCAGCAGCCTAGGCAGGATGCCATCTGCTGCTGCTGGATATCGCTCTCTGCTCTAGACTCAAAGTCCTGAGGAAAGCATCCAACTGGCCAAGCCGAGGCCATCCCAGCCAACTCTCAGCAGATGTAGGATGGTCTCCCTTGGCTCTCACAGTGGGAAAGGCAGTGCACCAACTCCCACCCCCACAGTGCTGATGTCCCCTGCTGCTGTGAGAGCTGGACACTGGGCTACATCCAAAATGGCACATCTGGTACACTAGAGTCAGGAAAAAGGGGCTATGAAGGAGGCTAGAGGTACTGGCACAGGCTTGTGGCCTTAGGAGCAGTTAGCGGGAGCCTGACGGTCTGTGATTTGTTTCCTGCTAGTAAACTGAAGCAGCCCAGAGGATTGGAGACTGCTGGCCCCAGTTCTCTTCAGCTCATTTCTCTGTGTTTAGCCTCTGATCTCATCCTGCGAGAAATAACAGGATGGTAGAGAGGCTGGTGAGAGGCGTAGCCTGGATTTTAAAGCCCATGGCTTGAGTTAAAATGTTGGCTTGTGGATGTCTACCAAGTACCCTTACCCCCAAAAAGGCTATCAGCTAGGGCAGTCACTTTGCCTTCAGGGCAGTTAGTTTGTTCTTGCTTTAAAGCCTGCTGTTTCCTTCCTCCAAGAAGTCATGAACTTTAAATCATGCTGACATCTGAATCAAGGTATATAGTCTTTCCTTCACTTAATGACTTTTCTGGGCTCGTGGACACAGGTGAATTTGGGAGGTAACACTTAAGCCCCATAAATGAAATAATGGGGAGCTATAGCATGAAGTTCAGGATGAGCTCTGGGGTAAAAGGATTGAAACTGAGGAGGCTTCTTAACAGTTTTTCTTTTTTCCTTTTCGTGATATAATTCACAGACTATCCAACTCACCCATCTAAAAGAGTGTGCAAGTCAAAGTTTTTCAGCATGTTCACGGTTGTACAACCCACACCGCATTTTTTTTTTTTAAAGATTTTATTTATTTATTTGTCAGAGAGAGAGAGAGAGAGCAAGCACAGGCAGACAGAATGGCAGGCAGAGGCAGAGGAGGAAGCAGGCTCCCTGATGAGCAAGGAGCCCGACGTGGGACTCGATCCCAGGACGCTGGGATCATGACCTGAGCCGAAGGCAGCTGCTTAACCAACTGAGCCACCCAGGCGTCCCCCCACACCGCATTTTAATCTTTGAACATTTTCATCACCCCAAGAAGAAACCCTGTACCCCTCGTCAGCCACTTTGTGTTTCTCCCCACACTCCCTTCATACATCCTGAGGAACTAGTAACCTTCTTTTTGTTTCTGTGGATTTACCTCTTCTGGACACTTCACATCAATGGAATCACACTGTGTGGCCTTTTGTGCCTGGCTTCTTTTACGTAGCATGTTTTCAAGAACCATCTGTGTTGTAGCGTGAATCATTTTAATGCCCTGGAATACTCTCTTGAATGCCTACACATAGAATTGGTGGGTCATATGGTAACTCCACGTTTAACCTTTCAAGGGGCTCCCAGACTGTCTTTCACAGCAGCTGTACCATTTCACTTTTCCCACCTGCCATGTTCTCAACATCCTTGCCAACACTTGCTATCTTCATGATGATAGCCATCCTAGTGGGTGTGAACAGTAGCTCTGAGCGTGGAAGTGATTTGCACTTCCCTCATGAAATGAAGTTGAGCATTTTTTTTTTCATGAGCTTAGTGGCCATTTGTCTATCTTCTTTGGTGAAATATTCAAATTCAGATTCTTCACCCATTTTTGAATTGGATTATTTGTCCTTTTCTTACTGAGTTGCATGAGTTCTTATTCTATTCTAAGTCCAAATCCCTTATCAAATGTGTGACGTTCAGGTATTTCTCCCATCTCGTGGGTAGTCTTTTCACTCTCTTGATGGTGTCTCTTGGCACACAAAAAGTTTTCATTTTGAGGAAGTCCTATTTATCGATTCCTCTTAATTTTACCATTTGTGCTTTTGGTGTCATATGTAAAGAGGCTTTGCCTAAACCCAAGGTTATGAGTATTTACTCTTATCTAGTCTTTTAAGAGTGTTACAGTTTTAGCCCTTGTGTTTAGGTTTGTGCTTTGTTTAGAGTTAACTTTTGTATATGGTGTGAAGAAGGGAGTCTTAACTGTTTTTGCTTATTAGCAATAATTGATGGTTGGTGGCAGCACCTAAAGAAAGAATAAATAATGAGATTTATTTTTTTCTCAGTCTGAAACTACGTTTTCTAGGGGCCCACCCTCAACTTCTGTATTCTTTCTATTTGGCTTTCAATGTTTTAGGCTGTGGGATATTAACATTACTATGGCTTTCAAGATCTTGACTCATTGCTTATGTATGATACACAATGATGTTATTTAGAGTGGCAACCCCTACGTAGCCATTGTAAGCTATTTATTTAGTTATATTTCATTCTGGACAAAGGAATCTGTGCTGCTTGGAGTCACATTTTAGGATCGAGCAAACTATTTTTGTGTAACAATTATTATATCAATAGCAGGAGAAAAACTAACTCATCACCCTTGCTGTTTGTTCCCTGAGCCCTAGACTATTAAATTTGGAGCAAATCAAGTAATGAACGTGCTGAGGTGAACTTTAAGGAGAAAATATCTTTGCCCTTGCAGGTGTAGCTCGTTCTGATGTAGTGAGGGTCAAGGCCAAGATTTGCCCATGACAGGGAGCCTCCCATGGCCAGAGCTGGTTTCTGAAATCTGTAGGAAGTTGAATAGGCTTTGGCCTCTATCTGGCTGTGCACTCAAAACAGATTTCCTCTCTTCATCTCTTCTTTCGGTCCGTTACGTCAGATGGCCCAGGCAACTGAAATTGAATCCCTAGTTCCCTTACCAAAGTGTGTGATTCTCCCTTCCTGACAACTCTTTCACTTGCTCTCCCTGCCTCCTCTTGAGTCCAGATCCGAGTAAGTCCTGGCTCACTCATAAGTTCCCTGAGTCCAGGATCACCCCCTTTCCTTTCTGTGGCTCCAAAGCCTGATAGGAAGTATTCAACAAGTCTTTCTTGATTATCTTCATTCCACCATATTTGCACAAATTTGCACCTGTCTTAATGGGACTCCCCCAGAGTAGAAATTATAATGAAATGATCAACACATGAAAAAGAAGGCAGCCTTTCTCTTTCTGCACACAAGCCTTGCAGGTGTGGGTGTGACTGAGGTAGTGCTACTTTGGGCTGAGTGCATTTTTAATAGTGGAGGGGGGCAAAGCAAAGCAAGGAGTTATCTTATCAGCTATTGCTTGTGGTATAGATTTTTCTGAAGGGGACCAGGGTCCAAGCTCTGGTATTCTTCGTCATCTGGAGGTGGAAATCTGCAATGTCAGGACCCCACCTTCTGACCCTCACCCCTGATGGAGCCTTCCTGCTCTCTTGGTCCTTACCCCACTCCTACCACAGCCATACTTCAACCTCCCTATTGTGAATCTGAGGACATTGTGATTCCTTTCTCTGATTGACTATTAAAAGATGAAATCAAAACATCCTCAAGTTCAAAATGTCAAGACTAAAAATCGTTCATGCTTCAACAATGAGACTAGAACATCTAATCCTGTTTTCTTCTGTGTTTCTGGTTACTTGATTATAGCACTTTCCCTCCTTAGCACTTCTATTCCCTCCTCCCTGTGTTCCTGACTTTCCCTGGTTTATCTCACTAACTCTTCAGGACATCAAGGATCTACTGTTCCAGTGATCTTTCTCTGGCACTTCCCGGCCGGGTTCAGTGTCCATCATTTTGCTCCCACTGCACCCCATATCTATTTATTGTACCTAAGGTATGTCAAAATCATCTAGGTATTCAGACCGGCCTTGACCACAGACTGTAAGGTCCTTAGGGCAAGAATGCCATTTTCTTAATCTTTGTATTTTCAAGTACCTAGCACAGTGATTGATAAATAATAGAATCCCAGTAGGTATTTGTTGACATGGACGAATCTGAACTTACTATATTATGAAATTAAATATACTTGTTCTTTATTTCCTAGAGAAGTTCTTAGGATACTACTATAGACTTATACATACTTGAAGCTTTCATGAGGTTGACTTTGGGCATGTTGAAGTTATAGAGATTATTGTTAAATGATTTTTCATACCAAAGAATGATAGAAGAGGAAGATACATACTCATAATATTAACGTACATTGTGCCGAAAGTGGTATGTTAAACTTTGGTATGTTAAACTTTAGTTGGCCATGCCATAGCCAATATTGTTCTGAGAATATGAGCAGAGTAATTCTTCTTTAATGCAATGAAGTGTCTGAAAACCCACTGACAAATAGGATCCCTTTTTGCCTTGTTTTCAAAACTCGCAGGCTTGGGTATTTTAAGAAATAATACTCAATGTTATTTGAACTTTAAGTATTTGTTTCACAAGTCTAACAGATTCTTTTTCCATCTCTCTAGAATGTTTCAGACGTTTAAAGAATGGTTTTGGTTGGAAAGATTCTGGCTTCCTCCAAAAATCAAGTGGTCAGATCTTGAAGATCATGATGGACTCGTCTTTGTAAAACCATCTCATTTGTACATGACAATCCCATATGCTTTTGGCTTGCTGATCATTAGACATTTCTTTGAAAAGTAAGTAGGACCTGCGTGTCTTTCCTTCCCATGCCTCTTCCTTGCCCCAACTCTGGAATCCTGGAATCTTGGTAAGAACTTTTAGTAATCTGTTGTTCAAAGGAGGGCACTAATGGGCTACATCTGGGGGAGTTCAACAAATTGTATGTACACCTAACATGATTTAGAAATTGAACACATAAAAATTAGGAACACAGTCTTCTTAAGTGTGTTGGTTTCACAGTGGGGAAAACTGAGATCAGGGGAGGTTAAAGAACACAGAGCTTGTTAGTGTCATTGATGGTGTGGGAACCCACTTCATCTTCCACATACCATGCTATCTGACAAAATATATACGATACATTCCCAGAAAGGTAATGCTAGAAGATTCTGTGTCTAAGGGATACATTATCATTTTAGAATGCCTATAAAATAGCAAAAAATGTCTCATTAAAGACCTAACTTAATATTTGCTTTATAGCATAGTTTATTTTAAAGGTTTATTGAAAGTTTTAATAGCAGCCTTTCATTCCAAAGTATAAGGAAATCAAAGAGAAAAATACCAATTTGCTTTCTCAGAAAAAGTAAACTTCTTTTCTTTTTCTTAACTTAATTGAAAGAGATATTACTTCAGCCTTTTTTATTAAAACTATACTCGTGTTATGATAACAGGAGATAAATGTTCATCTATAATCTCTGTAGTTGTCTCTATTTCAAAAAACTGTTATTAGCACATTAACTTTTTGGAGCAAAAAGAATATTTGAATGTCAGAGTTGGAAAAACTTAAGACAAAATTTGATAAAGATCATTTTGTCCAAGACTAACTGTAATGCAGATCATATGTTTATAACCATTTGCAGGGTCCTTATCTCAAGAGTTCGTTTGACCAACTCTGTTTCATGGACTCTCCAAAAGGTTTTTGTGCAAATAGCAACTTCTCTTGAGCCAACAATGTGCTATTGTTATTGAGAGAAAGAAGCCCCTGGATACCACTTAAACTCGAGTTGGGAACATTTGAAAATGCTCTTCTTTTTTGACCACGAATTCTATTTTCTAGTTCCATGTTTGGATTTGTCAAAGAATGCATAAATAAAGTAGAATTTTGCTGCTGCCCTTCTAAATTAGCAAGTCACTTTCTACTATCCTGAAATACTTGCTTCTCTTGCATGGTGTGTGGTTATCCTTGAATTTGGCTCCCGGGTCCTCTATTTATTTGCACTTCAGATTGCCTGCTTCTCAGTGGACAGCTCCATTTTTTACGTTGCGATCAGGACAGTGAACTAGAAGACTCTTTTGGTTGCCAAAGCAGCACAGCTGTGGAGGACCAACTTGTTCTGCGTTGGCCGAGGCTGCTCCAACAACAATCAGGAAGGAATCCAATCCTCTTGTAACTCCTAGGACCATTCTTGCTTCTTCCCAAGGGATTGAGGATACTCTATGTCATTTTTCCAGTCTTCTAATGTAGCTTTAACTCCCAATAACTCAGCCTTAGCTTTTTCCATTCTGTGACACTACAGAAAACCACGTGTCAGTCCACTAGCCTCATATGTCTTTGAATGCAATAGAAGTAAGGAAAATTTAACTGGGGAGGGAGATTATGCCTTTTGAAGCATACATTTATATCTTTTTAAAGTGCATTAGATTAAACCACATATGTCATAAATAAAATATTATTCACACCTTGCATTTGAGTAGAGACAGTTTAAATGTATATAAAATCACAAGTGATATGATCTCAGTCAAGAAAATAAGAGGTAAGTGATCTATTCAAGGGATAGATTTGGTTCTTGAACCAACATGCCATGATATCAGGCTCAGGGGTGGTGGTTTTTTATTCTCTTGTTATAACTGTACTTCTTGGACTTTCACAGTGAAATACTCCTGATGGTAGACAAGAGTTAACTAATGTCTCTTGGGAATATAGAAAACATAGCTTAAAGAAGTCTAGCAAATGTGTAATTTTCTGAACTACCTTAAAAATTCATGTAAAATTGACACTGGGTTTCAGCGTATGCTGTGTTATATTTATACAAGAAAGCTTTCTTCTTTTGTCCTTTTGTTCTTTCTTCTTTTGTTTATATTATACCTTCTCATTCTATGAAGTGACCAGTAGTTGTGATTGGCTGACTCATTTTTATCCTTTAGTACTAGCCAGCAGCCATTTAAGATCAGGGAGTGATGTCCCTTCCTAGAAAAGCAAGAGCAGAGAGAGAATTGATGAAGAAAAAAGATCATTTGAAAGTGACTGACATTTGCTTTGTACTTAGGGTTACTTTTCCTTATAAGTTTTGTGGCTTATATATTTAGGTATATGTGTATGTATGTTGTTGTTGTTGGCCAGGGTGGGTAGGGGGGAGCCTCGAATAACACTTTCTAACTAATTATCTGGACTCTTCTATGCATTCTTCTATGTGTCTGAAGTATGATTGAATGAGATCTAAGCTATTCAGATTTAGATGTTTGTGTAATAAACACATTTACATCTCAGAGTAAATTATGGTCCCAGAATGGTTCAAGGCAGGGATGGAGGTGGTACAATCAAAAGGTGATCTTTTTCCTTTTATTTAGTTGTGCACTGAGTACACTTAAGTTTTTCTACCATTTTCAATGAGCAACATAAGCTCATGATGGAATAACATGTCCTCATTCTGCAAAGAACGGAGGGTGGGACGACCCACCTGTAGCAATTTACAAGAGTTTCTAAGTGTCCTAAATGGACATAATCTCAAAATATGCACATTAGACTTAAATGTTACCCGAGACTTACATTGCTTCAAATATTTTGTTCTTTCACATAAAATCCCCTGATTAAACTCTGTTCAGGGGCACCTGGGTGGCTCAGTGGGTTAAGCCTCTGCCTTTGGCTCAGGTCATGATCTCAGGGTCCTGGGATGGAGCCCCACATAGTGCTCTCTGCTCATCGGGGAGCCTGCTTCCCTCCCCCTCTCTGCCTGCCTCTCTGCCTACTTGTGATCTCTGTCAAATAAATAAATAAAATCTTTTAAACTCTGTTCAAAGAGCCTTTGAATCTGTAGGACCTGGGAATCGATCTTACCGCAGTGGGGTATTGTTTCTGTTTAGGAGAAGTATTTAAACTTCACATGCTTAATATCTGCCTAGGGCTGCCTTCTTTTTATTCTATAAAAGAATATTGAAAAAAAAAAGGAGGTGGGGGTCTGGGATTGCTATAGGCTTTTGGCTCACAAGTAACTGATGAAGTGTTAGATGAAGAGGGGGTTGTCTGGGTGTCGGAATAGGGCCATCTGAAGGCTCAATTCTGCAATAGTAGCAAACCTAAGAGACTCAATCCTTGGTAATTAACCTAACTGTGAACCATTTACATGGGAGCAGAAGTTCACATTCTTTTTTCTTCCTCTTGGACATTTTTTTTATATTCCATATCCATAAAATGAAAGTTCAGGCAAGTTAATCTCCAAGGTCCTTCTAGAGTTAAGACCTGTCATTTCTCTTCTCTTTCAGTTCAGTTTATCAAGTATTTATAATACTCCTTTCTTTTTTTCCTTTTTCAAAAGAGATTTTTAAATTAAGTACCAGTTCATAATTATTTACACTTACATTAGATAAAATGGTTGATTTTTCCAGATTTATTTGAAAAGGAAGGATAATCCTAAAATAGAAAACTATATTTGTATATTTCCTGTGTTTCATCAAAAATGTTATTTCTGTCTTTGAAGCCTGGACATCTTAACAAATAAGACCACATTTCTCTTTTTTGTTTAAATTAATGATTTTAATATAGATGTGTTCCTGATTTCAGCAAGTATACTATGGACAACATGTATTTATCCATTGAGTATACTGAACCATATACGAATCTCCCACATGATCCTCTAAAAGGGAATGTTATACTTTCTTTGGCTTTGAGGTTGGTTGTATTCCCTTACTGCATAAATCTTTTTTTGGCTCAATTCCTCTTTGCTTTTTAAATTCTTCCTAAGTTTTTCGTTTCTGACATTTGAGAGAGAAATGAGTGACTATGACTGAGAACACTACCATATTAAAGCATGCTGTATTTGTGTTATTCAATTGGTAAGAACAATGAGTGTTTCCCCAATAAAAATTTTCATAACTAGTAGGTTGGATAAATGAACCAATTCCATTATTTATCCAAAACTTTGTCAAATATGTTTTTTTGAGATCTTGTTAGTCTTAAGGACACCTTCATTTTTGTTTGGTTTGGACGTTTTATGCAAAGGGGAATTAATTAATCATAATCCTCAAATCATAGCATGCTCTTTGGTCTGCATAAGACCTCTTTTTGAATGATTCAAATTAACTTTTTCATTAATTACCTTTTATTCCCATTTCCTAGTTACATTCCTGCCTCTTGGGGTCTAATGTCATTGATGGCTTTTTATTTGAATGGCCCAGTAAAACATGTGTATAAACATAAAGTATACATATTGTTAGTTGACATAATGGTGTGGTGATAAGACCTTACTCTGTTTCTTCTTTTTTTAAATGCAGCCCTATGTTTTATGATCTATCCACATTGCTCTATGTACATCTGGTGCATACTTAGTTTGTTTTTATATGTCTCTGAAATGTATGGGCCATTTCCAGGAAAACTTAGTCCATCTGGAAGTTGGATTGGCTTTATTTTATCAAATTATTTTAGAAAAAATTTTATTCAACTCCCATGGTTATAAAAAAATGAATTGAAGGGCTAAATGATCATTCATAACTGGAATTTCTGGCATTTAATTAAACACAGAAACTTCTGAGTAAGAACTAAAACAGACTAACGTGGCAGAAGACAGAGCCTTTGTTACAACTGGAGAAAGAATAGAGTCGTATCATTATTTTTTTAAATCAGCTTTAGGGGTACTGGGTGGTACAGTAGGTTAAGCTTCCAACTCTTGGAATCTCAGGGTCTTAAGATCTTATGATCTCAAAGTCATGAGGTCAAGCCCTGTGTTGGGCTCTGTACTCAGCATGGACTCCGCTTAGGTTTCTCTCTCCCTCTTCCTTGGCCCACCCCCCTGCCCCCACTCACTCA